ACTATTGTACACCCTGGTTAAGCATTGTTAATTAATATAGACAGACACACACACAATAGCAAGAAAATTAAAACCCCCATAAATTATCAACCTGATTTCTATCATTTAATCAAGCAGCACGGGCTGTATTATAGTGAAACTAAATAACTAGCACCATAAAACATTACAAAACTCATCAAATCAATTGCTGATACTCACTAATGTTTGCACAGTTGGTTTCCCTCCAAAATGATGTCACTTCCTGCAAGACGATGTCATTAAGGCATAGCTTTTGCTATTTAAAGGGATCTTTCAAAGGATCATCAGGATGTAAAGTCATGTTGAGAACACAGGGGAAAATATATACATTAATTATCAATTTAAACATTATTCACATTGAAAAATGTTTTCCTTGAACTATAAAAAGAGAAACAAATGAAGAAACCTCTACTGGAAATATTGGCACATTTCTTAATAAACTACAAGCTTTTCATGTTAGAAGTGCAGCTTTTGGGGATTTATTAATACATATGTTGGGGAAATGAACAACACCAGTGACCCTGGTAATCTTTGGTCATTTAACCTTACTAATAAACCGCTGTCACCATCTGCCCTCTACTGGTGAAGTCTCCCTGTTGAAAAAACCAGCATATGCTGGTTAGGTATGTTTTGAAGCTGGGATGCTGGTTTAAACTGGTTTAAGCTGGTCCTTTGCTGGTTTATGCTGGTCCTTAGCTGGTCATGTGCTGGTCCTAAACTGGTCCGACCAGCTTAAGACCAGCACATGACCAGCATAAACCAGCAAAGGACCAGCTTAAACCAGTTTAAACCAGCATCCCAGCTTCAAAACATACCTAACCAGCATATGCTGTTTTTTTTCAACAGGGTGACCAATCATGGAATATCTTGTTACCTATATCTTGGCATCTTGTTAAATATACAGTATGTATTGTAAAGATAAATATTAGTCAAATAGAAATGAACTGTGACTGTCTACAATAACCTAAGAGAAGTTTCTGTTGTTTAGACATCACAACCTAGATTTCCCTCTAGCTTCTCCAGAGGAACAAGAGCCGGAGGGCTAGAGTAAAAACAGAGACAAAATCGAGGTCGCAGGAGGAAGGGAGGGAGAGGAGAGAGAAAAGGAACAAGAGTGAGTGAATGATATATAAGAGCTAAGAGGGTTTTGAACACAGCCAATTTCATTTCACACACAGTCTCTGACCTGAATGTGCAACACAACTCTTCATTCCAGACCACAAAAAAACAGTTGAAACTGATATAGAAAAATATTTCATAGACATGTAGAATAATTCATTATAGAGGTCATTTCGATGTGGCAGACGCTGTGCTAAACTGATAACATACAGTAGCCTACATACTTAATGAGACAGGGCTGGTCAGCAGATGGAGCTAGAGAATAACTGCTCTTCTTCAAAACAACTGCCAGACCAGTTTTACTACCGTACGTGTTTGAATGCTGTTAGCAAGGAATCGAGGTCGCAGGAGGAAGGGAGGGAGAGGAGGAGAGAGAAAAGGAACAAGAGTGAGTGAATGATATATAAGAGCTAAGAGGGTTTTGAACACAGCCAATTTCATTTCACACACAGTCTCTGACCTGAATGTGCAACACAACTCTTCATTCCAGACCACAAAAAAACAGTTGAAACTGATATAGAAAAATATTTCATAGACATGTAGAATAATTCATTATAGAGGTCATTTCGATGTGGCAGACGCTGTGCTAAACTGATAACATACAGTAGCCTACATACTTAATGAGACAGGGCTGGTCAGCAGATGGAGCTAGAGAATAACTGCTCTTCTTCAAAACAACTGCCAGACCAGTTTTACTACCGTACGTGTTTGAATGCTGTTAGCAAGATTAACTGAAGTCTATCATTTTCAGTCTTTGTTTCTTGATTTTGCACGCAAATGAGATTTTTGGACATTTTTAGGGCACATCTATAGTTATTTGTCTCAAGCTTCTCACATCACTTTTGAAAAAAACAGCATATGCTGATTAAGCATGTTTTGAAGCATGGCTGCTGATTTGAGCTGGTTTAAGCTGGTCATGTGCTGGTCCTAAGCTGGTCCTGAGCAGGAGCTGGTTGCCTAGGGCCAGCTCAAACCAGCACCTATGCTTCAACAGGGACAACTTGTGCACAGGTGAACAAACATCTTAAATATTTAAAAAAATCCATGTACTTGTTTGTTTGCTTGCTTGTGTGTGTGTGTGTGTGTGTTGTTTTCTGTGACATCATTACATAACATGGAAACGGATGAACAGATCGTAGTGTTTGTGCATGTGCTCCCATTCTCTTTACTTGCCACATAAGCCTGTATTAAAAACATTAAATTTCTATAAATAATATATACATTTGGTTCCAAAAAGCATCTTTCTCCATCAATTGTTGTTTAGAAAAAGCCTTGTATTATGACAAAGTTACAAAGACCACATATAAATCGTTATTTCATGATACTATAATAGATGATTTACTGTGTCCTATTTTTTTGGAGGCTCCTTAAACTGTGAAATGGCCTCTTATATTTCCCCTTATATTCTCCCCTCAAGAATATAAGGGGAAATATATTCTCCCCTCAAGAAGCTCATCTAACAGAAATATATTCTAAGAACATAATGAAACATTAAATGTTTTTACTGGTTGTGAATGTTAAGGTAGCATTCCATTTCTCTGAACATTCTGAAACAAGCAACATTTAAAAAATGTTAAACGAATGTCCAGTTAAAACATTTCAGGAATAAAGCATTCCATGAACAATAAATAATGTTTTTGCACTAACATTTTTGAGAATATTATTAAAGACCAGATAACTTTGAATGAACGTTCTATCATTCCAGTGAACTCCAGTGACTCCAGTGAAATATCAGATCATATGTTGCAGCATGAAACCGATTAAGACCAAAAGAATGCACCAACTATCTATATAAGAAGCACTTTATTGCTCATGTAGACCTCCTAAAACAAAACCAAATAAAAAAATGAATATCTGACATGACAAATTGACATTTTTACAAAGTGAGTAAAGACTGATCAAGAGAGAATGTCTTTCATATGCTCCTGCTGTTCTTGGCAGAAAACTGGAATTCAGTTCAATAAAAACACTGTATGAACTAGGAAGCTCGAACCACAAAAAGACAGGAAAGCCTTTGGCGTCTTCCATTTTTAGTTCAGAATAGTAAAATAAACCTCGACCTGTTGAAAAGCTGTTATCCAGTTTGCCTCCAGAACTGATCTGCAGGGTTTATTATCAAACTGTAATGATATGTGATGAAAGGTTCATGGTCAGAAAGTATTAATGTATATACCACAGCAGCAACTAATAGCAATGTTCATATTGTACAATTGTAGGAACAGTCAACTCCTATCAGCGTATCTGCTGTCTAACCACATGACCGTCATACTGTACTCCTTAAAGTGCATCCTCTTTAAAAAAAAAAAAGACAAAATGACAATATAGTTTTGAAATGGGAACAACGGGTCACAAAGAACACATTTAAAAACATTAGTAGACAAAATATAATATCTTTTTTTACAAACAAAACATACAAATCACACGGGTACAACAATTATAAGGCCAGAAACACACTTTATGCAAGTGGGCAAATGCAACACATTGCTTTTTGAGTTGTTTTAAGAAATGTGTGTACTAAAGAAGGCAACAGAATTACCTTCAAATCTGCCGACTACAGCTAACTTGCCCAGCAAGATTTCCTTTCAGATGTTGCTCTGTCAAGACCATAAACAAGATAGTTTATGCTCAGGCCCACTAATAGCACCCTACAGCAATGTTAAGAATATGATGCACATTAAACAAATAGAATTTAGTCTCATTAAATGAATTATGACACATTGGTGAAGCGTTTGCATTCACATGCTTGTGCAGAGTATGTTTCGGGCCTAAAAACGACTAAAAAAGAAAGAGATGCAAAATATAAAAAATATCCAGTTATTAAAAATATACATAAAAGTATGCAATGTGTCAGTCTAACCTGCTGACTTGCTAATAAGCTACACTACCATTTAAAAGTCTGGGGTCAGTAAGATTTTTTTTTTAAAGAAAGTAACACTTTTATTCAAAAAGGACAGTAAAGACATTTATAATGCTATAAAATATTTCTATTTCAAATAAATGCTGTTGATTTTTCGATTTATCAAAGAATCCTGAAAGACAAAAATGTATCTGATTTCCACAAAAGTTTTAAGCAGCACAACGATTTTCAACATTGATAATATTGAGAAATGTTTCTTGAGCAGCAATTCAGAATATGAGAATGATTTCTGAAGGATTATGTGACACTGAAAACTGGAGTAATAATGCTGAAAATTCATTAAAAAAATATTAAAATATTATAAAAATTATAATAATATTTCACAATAAAAATGTTTTACTGTATTTTTGATCAAATAAATGCAGACTTGGTGACCATAAGAGACTTCTTTCAAAAACATAAAAAAATCATTCCAACCTCAAGTTTTTGAATGGTAGTGTAAGTCAGCTGCCTCGCTATGTAGTTAACAGCTATTATCTTTTACAAAATAGAATACAACCTCTTGGAAATTAAGGTTATTCCTCGGGAACATCTAGAACAGTTCCAGAATCAGACTCATTAAGGTCGAAAGGTTTTCCTTTGGGATTACATCATGCTACATTCTGACACCATGAGAGTCGCCATCACTGAGAGTGTTTCAGGTTATAAGCCACACATGAATTCAGACAAGAGTACACTCTTAAAAATAAAGGTGCTTCACGATGCCATAGAAGAACCTTTTTGTCTAAATGGTTCCATAAAGAACCTTTAACATCTCAAGAACCTTTCTGTTTGACAAAATGTTCTTTGTGGCGAAAGAAGGTTCTTCAGATTATAAAAAGGTAAGAAAGAGATGGTTCTTTAAAGAATCTTTGACTGAATGGTTCTTTGTGGAACCAAAAATGGTTCTTCTATGGCATCACTTGAAGAACCTTTTGAAGCACCTTTATTTTTAAGAGTGTAGCTGTGAAGGAGAAACGTGTTTGCATGTGTAAAAAAGAAAATTGTGGCATAGTAATGAATTTTCAGTCTGATCACTTTTCTCCACTTCAGCTCTCGGATTTGCAGTAAAAACATCACCGTCCATCCATTATCTGTCTCCACCTTGCTGCTCCTATGTCCCAAAGCAAGCGCTTTAAGTCCTGTCATTGTCAATGTGACAAGCTTGCGGCAATACTAATTTATTCATGTCAGAAATCAGCTGGACGGATCATCATGGAAGTGGACTGGAGCGAATAGCTGGGTCCTCGGAAGTGATGCCACTTAATGCCATTGAGTTTGCGGATGTTGTGACCCACGGTGTAGTAGATTCCATTGAGGTTAGACAGACCGCAAGCATCAAACCACCAGCCTGAAAGAACGACAAATAAAAGAGACTGAGATAAATACTTGAAACAGTTTTATAAACAGTATAGCACTCACATGTGTTTACTTTGGGCCTTGATCAGGATTATTTGTTAACTAAAACCAAAACTATTAAAATAAAATTAAATATTAAATTATATTAAAATTGTAAATTTTGCCTTGGCAACTAACTGAAATACGTTTTAGTTGTAGCACTAAAATTACTAATCCTAACTAAAACTGAACTGAACCTAAAATAAAAATAAACCAAAAATAGAAAAATAACAAAAGCACACAACAAAATTACAAAAAAAAAAAAAGTAAATAAAGAATTTTGTATTCATGTTTTATTTATTTATTTATGGAAACTATTTTGTATTAAGTGTTTATAAAGTGTATAATTGTTTCAATATTGAAAAGCTTAATAGCCTAAATTGTGTTATATTTTTTAATAAATCATTGCTTTGGAAAACTTGGGAATATAGCACATGATTTATATGGATTTTTATAGTACTTTTATGCTGCTTTTTGTCCTTCTTGGAGCTTGACAGACTCTAGTTACAACATTCTTTCATTGAATAAAAAAAAAAGTAAAGATTATACAAAATATTTTATTTTGCATTCCACAAAATAAAAAAAGTCATACTGGTTTTGGAACGACATGAGGGTCAGCAAATGATGGCAGGCTTAAAAATTGCATCTCCTCAAAACAATCAAAGCCCTTGATCCATCTCTCGCCTCTATATTGAGTCTTTTTATTTTTCGCTCCACAGTCCGTCAGTGTTTCAAAGGGTATGTTATTCCCACTGTGCGGTCGATGTCTCAGCAAGACCTGTCAAAGCAAACTGTGATTGTTCAATGAAAACCAGACTTTGTCTCTTCAGAGAGGACACCGTCTCTCTAACCCTGATTAAATCAGTATCACCTCCCTCAATGCGTGTTTAGTTTGGATGGGCTGCACAGATGGATCCATCTTTCCATCTTTTGATTACCATTTGTAATGCGAACATAAAAGGCACTCGAAGGTCTCCAGACCTTCGGTTCGACGGTAATTAACTCCAACAACTTTCAAAATCAATCGCAATGCATGCTATTAAAAGCTGTTGATCTTGGACCCCAGAGGTGTGGGATTTGCAGTCGAGTGCAGCCATCGAGTAAATTGTTTGCATAGCGGGTGTTGAACACGCGTCTGAACTCTGGACGTGTTTTACATAATTCTGCGATGGGGTTGCGTTTTCTTCGATTAGAAGAGGATCAGAGGGTTTTTGCATGACTGTTTCGACTTCACATCCAGGCCACAAGTGAAGAAATGTGACTGAGAGGATATGAATGTAGATGGCTTGCATTCAATAAGCACTGGTGAGTGCCTATCTATGATCAGATTAGATTTTACGTAACAAGTATTTTATGTCAAATGATCAAGGGTGTGACAAGACTTTGTTCATGTTTTTGTCAATGGGATTAATGAAAATGAAAGATGCAAAAAGCAACTTAACTGACAGACATTCAATATCCGTGTGAACAGCAACATTTTATTAAATATATTATTTTGCTAAATTATTGCAATAAATATGAATATTCTCTAAGTAATATTCAGTAATATCATCTATTTGACTGCATTGACACTATCAGATGAGAACCAAAATGTCTGATTCTATTGTCTTCTCTGGAACTGCTTTCTAGCTGAATCATATTAGTTTATTAATTGATTAATTTTGCGAACTTGATACTGTTTGACAACTTGTATGATAACTGATGAACTTTACACAGTCAATGAACTGAACTGACTTGAGCTGAATGATGACACTATTGTCTTTCTCAGAGCTGCTTTACAATCTCGTATCTGAAAAAGTTTGCATCGTTGATTATGTTATTTTTCTCTTTATTACTGTGAAGCTGCTTTGAAACAATCTGTATTGACTGATATAATATGATATGACTTCACTATTTGGGCATAAAATGGGGAAATCAAATGAATTGGTGAATCAAACTTCAAAGCATTTTTAATCACTTCATTTAAATGAACTGTCTGAATGAACCAATCCACTAAAATGAATCAGTTTTTACTAAAATGTATGGACATTTCAGGAGAGCATGTCTGAGTGTGTTGCATTATTACTTCAAATTGCTCAGCTACAATATTTTTTAAAACAGCTATGCTTTTTATGCGGTGTCATTGAGAACAGATTTGGAGAAATTTTGCATTACATGACTTGCTCATCAATGGATGCTCTGCAGTGAATGGGTGCCGTCAGAATGAGAGTCCAAACAGCTGATAAAAACATCACAATAATCCACAAGTAATCCACACCCCTCCAGTACATCAGTTAATGTCTTGTGAGCCTGCATGTTTGTAAGAAACTTCTGGTGGCACCCATTCACCGCAGAGGATCCATTGGTGGGCAAGTGACTAATTCTAAATTTCTGCAAATCTGTTCTGATGAAGAAATCAACTAAATCTTGGATGACCTGAGGGTGAGTCAAATTTTAGCAAATTTTCATTTTCGAGTGAACTATTCCTTTAAGTACTTCTTAACATTTGAAAAATTTTTCATAACTGTGTTTTTGAATGAGATCATATGCAGTAGCTCACCTCCGGTCATCATGAGGGCGCACTTGCAAACGCACTTGTCGTTGTCAGAGTCGCGAGTGCTGAAGCCTGTGCCGTTTGATGCTAAACTACTTTGCTGTCCTGCTGTCCCGCTATAGCTCCCTAGCAAGAGTCTGGAGAAAGATAAAGGTGATGATAGACATATTGCTGAACATTAACAAATTGTCAAAAAGTTTAACGTTAATATCAGTCTTGATCGTTCCGTTAACACAGGTGATACCTGTACTGCTGTTTTTCCCCAGCCAGCTGGAATTTGTCATACAGAGCATAGGCTCCGTTCTCCTCCCAGTCCTTAAGTTCCACTCGGAGGGAGTACTGGGCTTGACTGGTGATCAGGTGAGCAGCCTCATTACCCAGCCAGTGCTCTCCACTAGGATCACCAAATCCCTGTGAGAACAACATATAATGAAACCAATGCTGCGTTCCATTCATCTTGTAAAGTCAGGATTTCAAACTTCCTATTTGGGAAAGCAATAAAACGGCAGTTGAAGTTGAACTTTGAAACTTATGTTTCGAAATTTTCAAAAATATGATTGTATAATTAAAGTGCCCCTATCATGCCATTTCCAATATTGCCTTTCATGCAGTGTGTAATGTAGCTGTATGTGAATGTAAACGATCTGCGAAGTTGTAAAGCTGAAAGTGAATGATAAATAAAGTTATTATCTCCCAAAATAAAGAATCGACTCTGAACAGCTGAAACGAGTCGTTAGTAATTCGAATTCCACTTCCGTGAAAGCTGCACGTAACGGGGTAACACGTTTGCATAATGCGAGCCTATGTTCTACGTTGGACGGCTGCAAACAACTTGACCCCGCTCACAAATACGTCATTCTACTGACGACTGCTTCTCTAATCTCGGGAAATTCAACGCGGGATTCACAAAACGCTTGCTGTTTTATTTGGACCAGCTGCTCCACTGAATCACAACCTGTAAGTATGATAAATAATAAATGTTTATATTTTCTATAGAGCGTTCAAAATACAGAACTATTGAAATAGGAATATTGTTTCCGACCAATCACAACAGACTAGCACATCTGACCAATCAGAGCAAAGCAGGCTCACGGAAAGGAGGGGTTTAGAGAGACTGAATCTTTGAACTGCTTCGAACGAATCGTTTGGAAAATGAGGTGATATTAAATGCATATTTTGAAAAAACGAACGCGTTTTTTTGACATTGCATGCATGTAATCCTATTGTAAGAGACTCCCAAAACAATATTAGGAATCGTAAAAATGGCATAATAGGGGCACTTTAATTATACACACTTCAATGCAAATAAAATGCATCAGTGAGTCAAAGTTCCTTGTGCAAACAAGTCAAATGATCATCTCCTTTATCTTCTTATTACTGGACAACACTATATGGTTACATATCAAGCAGGAATATCACATATCCAACTTTAAATGAAACACAGCATTAGACACAAAACAGCTGTTTTGTTTCCTTGAATTAAATAGGTACATTGTCTGTCTTTTATTTCCCAGAAAAAGAGTCTCATCCTTTTCAGCTTTTTATAGAAAGGAAGGCTCACAATGATATTTGGCAAGATTAACAAAATGTAGAAAATTGCAGTATTGATTTTCACTGCTGTAGTTTCACAGAACTGCCAGTTTTCAATCCATTTCAGCATATTTAAGCACTTAAAATATCAGCAGAATGTGCCTCTATTAAATACAGAATGCACCAAACAGTTCAGCTACTGCCAATGACGCCAATCTGTCACTTACAATTTTAGCCGCTGTGCTTCATCCTGCTTTGGCTGGTTTTTGAATCTATGTCATCAGAATAATGCCAAACTTTTAATCACGTCTTCCCAGCACAGGCAGAAAAACATTTCCTTTTCTTTAAACACAATCAATAGGGATTTTCATCATTGTCTACAAATGTAACAAGTTCTCTTTGTCTATACACTGATGTGATGCTAGGACGTTCTGCACAGTCAGCTGTAAATGTTATGCAATCTTTTAATGTTTATGTCCACTTACCAGTTTATAGTCTTTCCAGCTTTTCTGGAAGTTCACACTTCCATTGGCCCTGCGCTGGAACACCGTCCAGCCACCTCCGCTTGTCACCATATCACAAAAGACCTGTCAGAAGCATATGAAACATCTCAGTCTCACTCTCTTACATTCCTCGTTCTGTATGTCACAGCCAAGATACATCACACTGATTCCTCATACTTGTGAAAGAACGCATCCCACACCTTGGTTGGCTCGGTCATGTCTCCGATGTATATGTGGTAGACTCCGCTGGTGTTGTGACCGGATTTATATGCCTCGGCACAGTCTCTGAAGTGCTGCTCATTTGATGAGAAGCCTGTAAGGGAAAACACAGAGGCTCTGGGGTTCAGAATTGATTTGAACGGAAGGTAAGAAAGACAATTAGCCAACAAAACACTGCTGTGACACAGCCATTAACGTAAGTACTCTGTTTGTACTCGTATTGGAAGCCAGACTCTATATTATTTACAGTAGTCTCATGAAGCTGTTTTCAGTGTTGTTAACAAACTAAAAATATTAAAGAACGTTTACTGAAATAAAGTAAACATTAACTGAAAAAAAGAAAATATTAAAATCTTATTTTATTTCAGCTAATTGCCAAATACAATGACTAAAACTGAAATAGACATTAATAAAAATAAAACTTTCAAAAAAATAAAAGTGACAAAAATAACTAAATTATTTATACTTTTATCTTAAATTAAAATGGAAAATATAATATTATTAAAAATAATATATATTATAATAGCATATTAATTATATTAAAATAACACTAATTTGATTTGTAATTGACCTCATTGGCATAAAAAATTAAAACCATGCTTTTATTTTTTACTTGAAATAAAATGTAATAAAATATTTTAAATGACTTATTTCAGCTAGTTGCTAAGACAACTAAAACTGAAATTTATAAAAAAATATATTTTTGAAAATTTTAATAAAAAATAAATACATATAATTATTGTTAAGTTGTACATATGTTGAAACAAAAATTAAAACAGAAAACACAAAAACTAATTATAAATATTAATAAAAACTGTAATAGTATCTCAGTGATACTAAAATAACACTGATACACATGATGCATGACATAAAGTTGTTTTGTGGATTTGCCACACAGTGTGACTAAACAAAACGATGTGGTTTCTGTTGTCAAAAGACCAAGATTTATAATAATTACATGACCTCAAGTTTTCAAATATAAAGACCATAGTGGTCTAGTTTTGGGATGAGTCATTGAAACATTCAACACAATGTGTTTGTTTGTCAAGCATCTGAGAGAGAGTTTATTTAGAAAATTTGGTACATTTGGTTCTTCGAGTGAACCTCCACGCAGACATTTATAAACTGACATGTCTTCTGTCCGTATAAAATGCTGCAGTCTTGATTTAGCTTATCAGTGCGTGTTGTGACGCATGTGAACTTCATCCAAGACATGGGAGCACGCTGCCAAAGACATCACTAGTGAGAGCTTATCCCCTCTCTCTCCATGAATCACGTCTGCTCAATTTATCATTAGTGTCACGGTTAATTAACCAGAACTTTCAGGTCATGTTAAGAATCTGCCACCAGATTTAAAAGCTGTGGTAAGCCCAAGAATCAGACATGTCTGTCATTCTCAGACAAGTAACCTTACTTTGTTCTCTAACTGGGTACTGAGTCATTTTTCTATCCTCTCCGACAGTGAAAGGCTGCAGCAATGCAACAAATCTAATCGAAACATTAAAATCAACATGAAATGGCATTCAAAATGCATTTTAGCTTTCATAATATGATATACAGTGTGGAAAAAAAGTATTTAGTGAGCCACCAATTGTGCAAGTTCTCCCTCTTAAAAAGATGAGAGAGGCCTGTAATTGTCTCTCATAGTTGAGGTATACCTATGATGAAAATTACAGGCCTCTCTCATCTTTTTAAGTGGGAGAACTTGCACAATTGGTGGCTGACTAAATACTTTTTTGCCCCACTGTAAGTTCAAATGAAACAGGCCAACATAATGCACTTCTATGGCTTGATAGACAATCTAGGTTGAGGTAGACTAATTGCATTTATGTTCTACTGTTAGTGTTATCTGTATGCACCAAGGGTCTGAGAGTAACGCAATTTCAATTCTCTGTATGTATGTGCTGTACATGTGGAAGAATTGATAAACATTTGAAACATTTTTCATAACTGTGTTAAAAATAAAATAAAGCAGACTTGACTTGACTTGACTAATATCCTGCACAGATCAAGGACTGTGCACAAGTGAAAACAGTCCACAAGGATTTTGATGTGAGAGGACCACAGAGGATGGAGGAAGCGTTATTATGGATTATGGACAGTATTTTGGCCAGAACGAATGACTTAAAGTTAAAACACTTGATGGATTTGTTTCTTACAAACATGCAGCTTTTCACTTTATAAGATATTAATTGATGGACTGGAGTGGTGTGGATACTTGTGGATTATTGTGATGTTTTAACAGCTGTTTGGACTCTCATTCTGATGGCACCCATTCACTGAGAGCCAGTCATGTAATGCTACATTTCTCCAAATCTGTTCCCATGAACAAACAAACTTATCTACATCTTGGATGGCCTGAGGATGAGTACATTTTTAGCAAATGTTCATTTTTTGGTGAACAATTCCTTTGAAGGTGTGCATTTTTACCTGTTCCAGAAGACATCATGCCAATAAGTGTGTGTACGGACTTCATGAGCTGCTGATGTTGGCTCTGCAGGGCTGAGTTGTTGGTGCTGGCCACTCTAAGCTGTCTCTCCAGAGCTGTAATGGCAGCTGTCTGTCTCTTCACCAGGTCCTGCAGTCGCTCTTTCTCCTCCCTCATGTCATCCAGCTCCGTCCTCTGCTTCGACTCCAGGACTAAGACTTTACTCTCCAAACGACTGGTGGAAACAATGCATAATGCATTCATTTAAAAAACTTCTACCAATAGTTTAAGTCAAAAAGACACTTTTTCAAAGCATCTCCATGTTTCGGAGAAATTCCTAGATAGAGCAGGAATGAATGCCCAATGGAGACCGTAGGCCTCTAACTTGGGCATTTATAATAGGATGGATAATGGTGTTTTGCAACCTATAGGGGTTTATTTTAAACATTTAGACCTAAGTATTAAACTTTGGCTCTAAACCAATCCCGCACCACTTGTACTAGACATATTACTTTTAAGACATCCGCAACTACCCAAAACAGCCTAGCAACAGGTCAGAATACTCCAGCGACTGCCCAGAAAACCCTAGCTACAGGTTAGAATACCCTAGTAACCACCTAGAACTCCCTAACTACCACTCAAAACACAATAAGCCAGAACACCCTAGCAGCTAGAATACCCTATACATTTAAAAAAGTTATTGAGGGTACGTTTACATGTTAACGATTGCAGAATTGGTTTTTGTTTTTTTAACGTTTTGCAGACAGACATATGGAAGCCCGTTTGAATAAAAAAAATAGCCGCTGAATAAAAAATTAAAAAGTTAATTGAGACTTTTTATCTCACAATTCTGACTTTTTTTTCTCAGAATTGCGTGATATAAACTCGCAATTGCGAGTTAAAAAGTCATAATTGTGAGATATAAACTCGCAATTTCGAGACATAAAGTCAGAATTGCATCTTTATATCTTGCAAATTGTGACTTTATAACTCGCAATTGCGAGTTTATATCACAATTCTGAGATAAAAAGTCACAATAACCTTTTTTTATTTTTTATTCAGTGGCGGAAACGGGCTTCCATACAGACAACAACATTGTCAACATTTTTTTTAAATGATTTAGTCGTTGTAAAAGCATGCCAGGCCAGTAGTTGGCGATGTCACTATGTAAAGAAACACTACACGCATGTGCAAATACTTTTAGACTGAACAATACGCATGCATGTGATGTGACCGTTTTCACAAATTCGTGTTTTCATAGTTCATAGTTTTCAGACTTCCAAATGCCATTGTCGTGTAAATGAACAGCCAAAATGCATAAAACGTTTTCTGTATACTTTTTGAGCATACAACACAGCTTACATAAAGTGCCATCAATATAAGCATTATATATCAGCATATACTGTATGATGCCATACATTATCATCTTGAAATGACCAATTATTGTTAGATTGTTGCTTTAGCTGTTGCTAGCTACTGTCTAGTGGCTTGCTGTGTCATGTGAAACAAGTCTGAACTCTGGGCCTTTAGGAAATGGAGATACAGTCTTTCCATCAGCACTATAGGTTCATGATTTAGTGTCTGGATCAGAGGAGATAGCACTGAATAACTCGCGTCTCTCGTCAAAACAATTTACAGCCGCACAACAAGGAGCCACTGCTACAAAAACGAGTTTCTGAGGAACTCCGCAAAATCCTGCCGGCTTCAATCTGTGTGTGATTTAGTGAGCGAGTGTGTGTGTGTGTGTGTGAGCGCTGAAAAATAACACCACCCGAGGGTTTGATGCCGAAAATAACTGGAAAGCAAATCAAAACTCCATCGAGCCATGTAACTGGATGCGTACTTTGTTAAATTACAGTAGATAGTCATTAAACATGCTTTGGTTGCCAGTGGTTCTCGATGCTTATGTTTATATGATTGATTACACAAATAGTTTTCGCACAATCGATTGGCAAGGACTGCTGAAATCCCTTGCCAGAGTTTGTAATGTGTACACAATGCTGAGCAATTGTTTGCTGTTATTATACTATGAAGCTGACCCTCGCTAAACCCGCATCAATTCTGGGAGCAATTATGAACACTTTCGCTTGCACCGCCGTAAGTCGCCTTGGAAAGGTCGAAAACTCCCTGTTCTCACTCGTACGGGAAACATGAAATATTGAATCGTCTGTAACGTAGCGGTCCATTATAATTATGTCTGATGCCCCCATGCAGCTACCAAAACATTGCTAGCAACACAGTTCAATTGGTCGTCAAAGTTGAATGACAACAAGTGTTATCTGTTTAATCTAGTGAGAGCCAAGTACAAAGCTTTCTGGGAAACCCTTTGTCCGGCTTTATAAGTGTGCAAAGGAAACTTGCCTGGGGTCTGCTTTGTGCGCTGTGCTTACTCCGTAGTTATTAAACATTATAAACAATCAATTAAGTTGCTGATTATTTCCCTTTACAAAGCCTTTACCCCTGCTGTGCTCTCTGACTGGCCGAGTATGGGAAAATATCACTTTGAGAACGACAAGAGAGACAAAAGTTGCTGTACACTGTGTGAACGTGCAGATGCAGACGCGATCTGACCCTTAAAAATGACTTGATCTTATTGCTCAGTGGTTGTTCAGAGCTGTAATGAGCACAATTACATAATGCAGTTCTCAGTTATGACTCATTCAAGCATAATTTTGTCTGATGTTTCTCGTGTAATATCATAGGGGAAATAAAACGGACACAAAAATAAGGCAATTGCTGACAAACAGTATGAGTATAGAGCTATAAAATGAATGTAGAAGATGAAATTAATCTCATTGCTTTCTATGACAAGCATTTTCTGCCAACATTAACATAGAAAGTACATTTTAAGTTACCAGACAAAACTCTATAGTTTATTTGAAACAGAAATACATGTAAGAAATAAACAAAGATTCATTAAAAAAGTCTTACCTGTTCTTGTCTTGAAGTTTGGAGATTTCTGAAATCTGTGTTAAGAGTTCCTTCTCCAGTTTGTTTGTTGATAATGAATTCTCTAATAACTGAATTGCAATTCTTGATGTCTGGTTCATAACCTTCAAGTGGAATACCGTAAAATGAAGAATGAGAAATTACAGAAAACTATCATACATATGATTTTATATATGACATGATACAGTGGGGTCCTAAAGTCTGTTTGTTAAAGAATGTTTTATTTACTTTAAAATGTACCATTTTTATTACAAATTATACAATGAGCACAACATTTTGAATAAAAACATGGATACTCATTTTTTATTTTGTTTTAATGACAACTAAAGCAGCTACGAACATAACATGATGTTTTCCAGCATGATTTTAGATCTTCCAAAAAGCATCTTGAGCATCAATGGAAGAAAGAATCTGAACAGGCATAACATCTGATTAGTGACCTAGACATTGCAGAATATAATATTTAAAAAATAATTAAGATTTTCCATGGATCTTCATCAATAACATTTCTCTGTTTTACATTTTGAAGCTTTCAACAACTGTGTTTATTTCCAGGTTTAAAATCATTTTGAATTTTTATTTTCAGTGTGGTTTTTGGACCCTATACGTATATTTAGCAACAAACAGTAATATTAAGATATATAATTGCAATTTTAAACAACTTCAGTGTTTAGAAATCAACTTTAGAAATTATTCTAATATGCAGCTCAGAAAAAAATTATTATTCTTAGTTCCATCTGCAAGCTTTTATTAAAGAGACGTGGTATAACAGGCAGGGTCGAAAAATGGCAAACAGGTATATGGCGGGCAAAAACACAAGAATAGTCCTAGGGCTAGCGTAGGTCACCGATCGGCAGACAGAATCACAGGGGCAGTGAGGTAGAAAGAGGGAAAAATCCAGGAAAACAGGCAAAGATCAGAAACCGCAAAAACAGGCAAGGCAAAACAAGGAAAACACAGAGACTCGGAAAGGGGTACAGGCTAAACAATACTCAGCAGAGAATGGCAGTTTGAGTGGGTGTTATATAGTGAGTGAGGTGATAAGAAACAGCTGTGTGCAATCAGTGCAATCAGTGCAGTGTGCAAAGCGTGCAATGAATGATGGGATATGTAGTCCGGGGTGCTATGCAACAGTTTGTGTTGTGCGAGAGTCAATGTAATGGAAAGGGTGACCTCTGGTGGTGAATAAACAGAAGTCCATGGACCGAATTCGGGACAAATCTCATATTTAATAAAACTGATGATGTATTCATTCGTGCATTTCTATAATGTGAAATGAGATTACCTTGGCTTCAACCACATTGAGTTTCCTGGTTTGCTCTGCAGTCTGGGTGAGCAGGTTGGTGCCGATCTCCAACATAGTGGCCGTCTGGTTATGAACTGCATCAGCTTGAAAATGCACCATCCCTGTTTTTTGATGGACGTAGTTTTCTAACTGTTGAGCAAAGCAAAGAGAATTGTGATCTCAGATAATATTGAATATTGCGAAATGTTGGGTTGACCCATTTTTACAGCAATACCATATACAGTAGAAAAAAATGTTTTGGTTCCCCAAAGAACCTTTCAGTAAAACGTTCTTAAAAGAACCATTTTTTCTTAGTGGGAAGAACATTTAAAAAATCTAAAGAACCTTTTTTCGCAAAAGAAAAACCCTTTGGGGAATGGAAAGGTTCTATGGATGTTAAAGCTTCTTCATTGAACCATTAAGAACCTTTATTTTTAAAAATGTATGACAGTCATAATTAAAACATGATGGTTGGTTTAGAATTCCAATTTGTAATTTCAAGATTCAGAGGGGTGTTTACGAGGGCCCCTTCTTGCGGCTGTGATGTGTCCTCAGTGCTCCCTTCTGTTAAGCACTCAACAGTGTGGACTCAAAAGCTGGAAAGTTAATCAAACCCAGTGTTTTTTCCCTAGCAAGTGGGTTTTAAATCCGCTGGGAGAAGATCCAGTGCCAGGCAAAGGTGCGGTATAGTGACCCTCTCAGTCCCAAAAGACTCTGAGCTCTGCAAAAATAAATATAACATCACCAAGACCGCATGGACCCTGAGAGAAGGACTAATGGAGGATAATTTTATCAAAATGGAAATAAACACGTTAAACCCTGAGGGAAAGCAATGCGCTTGATCTGGTCTGTCAGAACTTGCATGGAGAATGAAGATTCTTTTTGATGTAGAGACTGTGTGTTAGAAATATATAATAGTGATATTACAATATCAATCACTCTAAAGTGCACTCAATGCCCTGACATGAATGCTTCTGCTTAAACTCTTAAAAAATAGTTCCAAAAAGAAGTTCCAAAGGTGATGCAATAGAAGAACCATTTTGGGTTCCTCAGAGAACCTTTCAGTGAACAGTTCTTTAAAGAACCATTTATTTCTTTGTGTGAAGGACATTTTCAAAATCTAAAGAACCTTATTTGGAATGGAACCACAGATGCCAATAAAGAACCTTTACTTTTATGAGTATGATAATCATAATTAAAACATGATGGTTGGTTTACCAAATTAATGAACGTAAACAAGAATGCAAAGGTTGGGTTTTCTTCTGTTGTTGTTGACTCCCTAAAGACGCAGTGTGCCCTGACCGATTAATTGACCCAAGCTTCCTGCCTTGGATTGAAATCACATAGGACGAGTCCAGCTTGGGAACACTGATCTGGATTCAGTTGGATCAGCTTTACGAGTGTAAACCAAAACCAGATGTTTCATCTCATTTGACTGGAGCTTCCTGGGATGTTTCCTTGCTGAATGTACTGTAAAACACCACCAATGTGAGGGTAATGCTCTTCGGAGATGTTTTCTGCTGAGTCATGGCGATCTGCATGCAGTCACGACACAGATGATCATCATTCACAAGCACCGCAGATGTTTATAAGAGATCACTTCAGAACTATTGTGTTGGGTTGTTTGCTTCATGAAGATTCATGCAGATTGCATCATTTTCAAAAACATAGCAGCATAAATTCCAGTAAGTGTTTCGTGATGGCCTCTCACAATGACAATCAATCATCGTTTTGTTTTAAAACTAGTTACTATTTTGTCATTTAGCTGACAAAGTGATTTATATGACACTTACGGAGCAACCTGGGGTTAAGTGTTTTGCTCAAGGGAACATTGGTAATAGTCTATGGATCAACCCTTTTGGGGTTTAAACCTATAACTTTTCTGTTAACAGCCCAGATTTTGAGCAGCTAGAATATATATATATATATACAGTGGGTACGGAAAGTATTCAGACCCCCTTAAATTTTTCACTCTTTGTTATATTGCAGCCATTTGCGAAAATCATTTAAGTTCATTTTTTTTCCTCATTAATGTACACACAGCACCCCATATTGACAGAAAAACACAGAATTGTTGACATTTTTGCAGATTTATTACATGGTATGGGTTAAATGAGGACAAATACTAATTTACAGTGATTAAAAAAAAGTATTACAGTTTTTTAGGATTACACATAAATTACATCAGTACACAACTATTATGCAGTGTTGAGAAAGTTACTTTGGAAATGCAATAGGCTGCAGAATTTAAAATGTAATAAGTAGTGTAACTATTTCAATTACTTTATTGAAGTAATGTAGCTGATTACATTTGATTACTTTTTCAAAATCCTTCATCACTTAAATTAAGATTATATTCATTTAATTTTAAAGCACAGACACCACAAAATCTGATTTTTTTCATTCTGAGTTTAAAGACTTATTTAAAATCATAACAAGAAAAAGGTAATCTTAAAAAATAAAGAATATACATAAACCCAAATAGGAAATAAAACAGTTATCAAATAAGCATGTGTCATATTCTGTGTCTGGTGTCTCATATTTGTAAATAAATTACATAACGCTGTTACATGTAACTAGTTGCTCCCCAACACTGCTATTATATATATACATATATATATATATACACACACACACACACACACACGCACACACACACACACACACACACACACACACACACACACACATTTTCAAAAACATAACTGTATAAATTCCAGTAAGTATTTATTGATGGCCCCTTATACAAAAAATATATTATTAAAATATTATAATTTTATGAATACATAAAAACTGAATGAATAATAAATTGCATAAATGTTTATTAATTCACCAACAAAACGACAAAAATGCTACACTCTTAAGTCAACATGAAATCAAAGTAGACTCTATATTTACATTCTTAAAACATATTCCTGGTCTTATTGCAATAAGATTCATCAGTGCATGTTATTTTAAAGAAAAAACTGTTTGTCTTCCTAATCTTTCATCAAAATGTAATAACTTGCTCTGACTCTGAAACAACTTTCTATATCGGGTGATGTCAAAGTCCTACACACCCACATTCAGGTCTGGCACTACTTCTTATGATGCAATACATTCCCAATGGATACAATAAAGTCCTATATTACATTTTGTTATCCTTACAGAAGTAAAATAAGCTGTGAATGCCATTTTCTGTTGTCTTTCTAAATAAAAGAACCAGTTTAAGTCAATCTCCACCACTAGATCTTCTCAGAAAGACCCTGGGAGATTACTTGATTAACCTTCTCATTAAACCAGTAGCAAAGCAAACTTGAAGGCAAACATCTGAGCATGTAGATCTTTCCCTGCAGGATGTCTACATCTCCACATCAACTAATCCAGACTCTGTCTCTGGATTCCTCTGCCATCTCGGTCCCCTCATCCAACATCTACCGCACACCACGAGAAACTATCCACCCTACAAAACAATCAGCAGCTTCCTGCCGCCTGTTCTCTGATTCCGGCCCAGTATAATGTTTAGTTTTTAATCTACTCTTCTTTTTCATCCTGCAGGGGTATTTCTAGACACACTTAAGCGAAGCCTCCCAGACGTGAGCCGTCTGGTGGAATGCAGTGGATTATTGGAAAGGTTTCCTGTAGCTACAGTAAGGTATTCATTTCCTAACAAGGATTATTGAGTATAATAGACGAGAGGATTGTCAAATCTCTTTCTAAACAGAGAGGGAAATATGTTAAGAAAAATGTTTGCTTAAAACTAATGAACCATACTATTTTGCTCGAAAGACACTGCCGAAATGTGCAAAAGCCAAGACAAAAGTGTTTAAAAGCAGGAAATGTACATTTCTAAATAGGTTAGTACAGTCAAAAATGAAAAACCTGCCATCATTTACTCACTATAATGTTATTTTCAAACCTGTATGAAAATGACCTGAAATACAAACCTGTATTTCAAATTCTTTATTGAAAAATATGGAAACTGTGTTGTTTCTGGGGAAGTCGAGGCCAAATGGTTAGAGAGTCGGACTCGTAACCCAAAGGTTGCAGGTTCGAGTCTCGTACCAGCAGGGATTGTAGGTGGGGGGAGTGAATGTACAGTGCTCTCTTCCACCTTCAATACCACGACTGAGGTGCCCTTGAGCAAGGCACCGAACCCCCCACTGCTCCGGGTGTGTGTTCACTGCTGTGTGTGTGCACTTTGGATGGGTTAAATGCAGAGCACTAATTCTAAGTATGGGTCACCATACTTGGCCACATGTCACGTCACTTCACTTCACTTGTTTTATCATTGAGACAGTATTTTAGTTTTTAAAATTTTGTCATATTTTATATTTTCAGTTTTCATTTGAATTTTTGCTAAAGTTGAAGTATTTTGTGTTGTCATTTTAGTAGAAAAGTTGCTTGGCAACTGAAATAAAAAGTTTTTTGGCAACTAACATCGAAAAGCATCGCAAAGCATAGACAATTAGTCTTCTGAAGTCAAATGGCAGCTTTGTGTGAGGAACAGACTTGACATTTTCAGTGAAATTCTTGTTTGACAGATGTGGTCAACCTTCACTGTCACCAGTACATTTATAAACAGGTTAGTGCAGCCAAAAATGAAAATTCTGTCATCATTTACTCAATATTATGTCGTTTTCAAAAACATGTATCAATTTTTCTTCTTCTGTGAAACATGAAAGAAGATGTTTTGAAGAATGTTCACACTGCTCTTTACTATACAATGGATGTGAATGGCCATAGGGGCTGACAAACCTATAATAAAAGCATAATAAAACATAAAATTAGTCCATATGACGTGTGCTATATATTTTATGTCTTCTGAAGTCATACGACAGCTTCGTGTGAGGAACAAACTGACATTTTTCAATGAAAATCTTGCTTGACAGATGCGGTCAGCCTTCACTTTCACCAGTTAAACATTGTGCTATAAATTTCTGCTTTTTTGAGTCTTATGGGTTCAGAATGACATGAGGGTGAGCAAATGATTACATCATTTTCAATTTTGAGTGAACTATCCCTTTTATGTAAGTGCAACAGAGTAAAACAACTCAAACACACTGGAAAATCGCTGTCAATGATTAGCCTTTTTAACACATTTGATTGTGTTCGCTCATCAAACAATCTTGGAATTTGAGATTTGCCATGTTTACATTGCAAGAAAGCGG